GGACACACACAGCCGGGCCCGGGCTGGCCGCACAGCGCTCTGCCCGTGCCCCGTCACCCCACGCCCACTGTCCAGGCCCCGCTGTGCCCGGCTGAGCACGGCGCCCCTTGTCTCACCCCTCCGCACCGGCCCCGGGCACTCAGCAGCCGGGGCTGGGCTCTGCCCGCCACTTCCTGAAAAGTTCTCGGGAGTTGCGCCGCGCTGTCGGGGCGGGACGGAACGGGACGGGACGGGGGAGGTGCCAGAGACAGCGGGACGTGGGGCTGAAGGCTATGGGGAACCATGTCCAAGCGTCCTGTTGCCACAGCAGGGGCACGAAAGGAGTTTTTCCCGACAGGGCACCGCTGGCGGTCCCTGTGCGGCTCTCCTGGGCTCTAAGGGAGCGGGAGGCACGGGCTGTCGTGCTCGTTCCATACAAATCCAGGGGCAGAAATGGAGCGACGGCTGCGAGCCCRGGAGGGCACAGGGCTGGAGCAGCCCGGAAAGGATGTTGTAGCCAGGTGGGGGTCAGCCTCYTCTCCCAGGCAGCAAGTGACGGGACAAGAGGACATGGTGTCCAGCTGTGCCGGGGAGGTTCAGGGTGGACATCAGGAAAAATTTCTTCACAGAAAGAGTGGTTAGGCTTTGGAATGAGATGTCCAGGGAGGTGGTGGGGTTATCTCTCTGAAAAGGATAGACTGCACACGTCACTTAGTGCCACGGTCTAGTTGACAGGCTGGTGTTTGGTCATAGGTTGGACTTGATGATCTCAGAGATCTTTCCCAACCCAATTGATTCTATGATTTTGAATGCAAGCTGCACGTGGCCCTGAGGGAGATTTCCTACAGTKAGTAAACACTAACCACTGACTGCTGCTCCGAGTACTGGCTCAGTGTGAGCCTGGTTGTTTTCTGGCAGCACTAGAGCTACCAGAGAAGCTCCACGACACTGGGGATCTCTGGGGCACCCCCAAGGTGGCAAGGCAGGGATAACCAAAGCCCATACACAGCCCTGCTGCTGAACCAGCGCTCCCGGTTTATTTGGGTCCCAGGGATTTCAGCACAATGTTAACGTTTTACTTTTACTCATTTCCCTGATGTCGCAAATCAAGCGAACCATGCACAGGTGGTGATTCCCATAATCTCATGGCGATACCTTGCCACAGGGTTACTGTCTCCCAGCCTCCCAGCACAGAACAGCTGCCATCTCCCTCCTGCGGAGAGCCTTGCCTCAGTGTGCTGTCCCAGAACAGGGTTTTGTCATCTGGTGTGCATGAAGCTGATCCACACAGGGATGTGGGGTATTTCACAGAACTGCAGGGTCATTCAGATTGGAAAACACTTCCAAGGTCATTGAATCCAGCCATGATCAAACACCACCCTGTCAACTAGACCATGGCACTAAGTATGTCCAGTCCTTCTTGAAACACCTCCAGGGATAGTGACTCCATCACCTTGCTGGGCAGCCCATTCCAATGTCTAACCACSCCTTCCATGAAGAAATTCTACTCAATGTACAACCTGAACCTTCCCTGACATGGCTTGAGGTTATGTTGTCTTGTCCTGATGCTAACTGCCTGGGAGAAGAGGYCAAGCCCTCCTTGCTATAGCCTCCTTTCAGGCAGTTGCAGAGAGAGTGATAAGGTCACCCCTGAGCCTCCTTTTCTCCAGGCTAAACAATCCCAGCTCCCTCAGCTGTTCCTCACAAGAATTGTGCTCCAGACCCCTCCCTCCCCAGCTCCATAGTCTTTCTCTGGACTTACTCCAGCCTCTCAATATCCATATTGAAGTGAGGGGCTCAGAACTCCATGCAGGTGTGGCCTGACTTGCGCCAAGTACAGAGACAATCTCTTCCCTAGTCCTGCTGGCTGCTCTAAGACCATCCAGTTCCACCACTGACCAAACATTACTGTGTYAACTAGACCACCAGACATTAAGTACCATGTCCAGTTGTTCCTTGAACACCTCCAGGGATGGTGGTTCCACCACCTCTCTGGACAGCTTGTTCCAGTGCCTGATCACCCTTTCCACAAAGAAATGCACAGACAGGCRCTGGCTTTGTGGATTCATCACCCACTGCCCATCTCTGCACTGATATGAAATAAACAAATACCAGGACTCTGTGCGGATCTGCCTCACGTGCACCCAGCGACAGAACCCAACTTGGGCACAAGTGGAGGGGATTGTGCCGACTCTACCASGGCAGGGCAGGATACCACAGCTGGGAGGACAGCATTAAGCTGCCAGGCGAAGTTCAGGTTGTACATCAGGAAGAATTCCTTTATAAAAGGTGGTTAGATATTGGAATGGACTGCACAGGGAGGTGGTGGAATCACCATCCCTGGAGGTGTCTAAGGAAAGACCGAATGTGGCATTTACTCCCATGGCCTAGTTGACAGGGTGATATTCATAGGTTGGACTCGATGATCCCAGAGGTGTTTTTTAACCTTATTGACTCTGTGATTCCGTGATTTCGGGGAATCACGCCCATCCCAACGCTGACACCAAACACCCACAGGCCCCCGAGCCGGGCAAGGCCTCACTCCGCGCATGCGCCACTGGCCGCGCTGGCGGCCGCTTCCCCCGCGGCTCCCGATTGGCTTGCGCACTGCCCGCCGGCCCGGCCCAATGGTWGCGCTCGTTGTTGAGGTGTGGCGGGAAGAAGGCGGTGCCGAGGCTCCGCCCGTTCCTTTTGCCGCCGCGCTGCCCTCGCGAGCGCACGTCCCGGGCCTGWGTTCCGCGCCGCCGCCGCCGCCCAAGTAAGCGCTCGGTGCGCCCCCGCCTCCGCGGGAATGGCCGTGTCCGACACACCCGCCTCAGTGCGCGGCCGCCCCTGGGGCTTGGGCGAGGTCACCCTGGCGGGGGGGGGTAGGGGGAGAGAATGGTGGCCATGTGCTCTGCTGGCCTGCGCCTGGGCCGGARCTGGCAGAGGGACGAGACGGGCTGAGGCGAGCGCCAGGGTGCGAATGTCGCATTGCCGCTTTCCTTCGGGAGAGATGCCGAGGTGCMGGCCAGGAGTGTGTGCCGGGCTGCCGCGTGCGGGCCCCGTACTGACACGGTCTGGGGAGCGCGGGCCGCGGGTTCTCATTTGGAAATGGAGTCAGAGGATTGTGGCTTGGAGGGAGAAGGGATGAGCTTTCTCCGAGCACGTAGCCCGGTCATGCTGAAGAAGACTCCGCTCTCCTGTCTTGCAGGATGCGTTACGTCGCAGCTTACCTGCTCGCAGTGCTCGGGGGCAACGAGTCCCCCACATCCAAGGACTTGAAAAAGATCCTCGACAGCGTCGGCATCGAGACGGACGATGAACGCATGAATAAGGTGGCGTTGCCTTTAAATTCCAGGTGTCCCAACCAGCACCAGACACTGGAGCTGTTSTCTTGGCCTCAGTATTCCCATTGCCTCGCTGGTGATCTGCTCTTACGGTGTTCAGACATTTGCTTATCCTTGCCTGTGTGATTTCTAAAACATTGCTAAACCATTCATAACTTTTTATAACTTCTGTTAGAAGTCTGGCTTTCTTACTCAATGCCGGTCCTCCACAAAGGTCTTTGTCAGTTGTTGCTGACTTCTGGTAGGTTAGTCTAATCATCCTCATTGAGATGGTGGCTGCATGTAAGTATGCACTGAAAATGTTCTGACATGTATGTTCCATCGTGTGTAGTCTGCACTGAAGKTTTAATTTTCAGTTTTGGTCAGTATCCATTTAGAGTTAACACTTCTGAAGGCCTGATACTTAGTAATACATTCTTATTTAGTGTACTGCAGAGGAGCATTTGTTTCCTTCACCAAGAAACATAGGCAAATCCTAACATGGACATTTAAAGTATTTGAGGATAATATATAGGAAGATTTTGGAAATATATGCCAAAGTGGTTGTGGTGGAAGACAGATCTTAATTAGAATGTTTCTTGTGATGTAATAGATCTTCAGTAATGTGTACTTAAAAATAATTGGCCATGGGAAAAAAAAAAAACCAATGAAATAATCTTATCACCTACCCCATGTATGTGAAGTGTTTCCAGAGAGGTAAAGATAAAAAGAAGACATTTTCCCAGTGTTTTACAATAGGCCCAACCAGATGATGGGTTGGCTGAGCTGATGGCATCCTTACTATTGTTTGGGATGTTGGTTTGAACTCCTGATTAAGTTCCACGTCTTTTGTCTTTTGCTCCTTTAGGTTTAATACCTTCCTAAATTAATTGTTGCTGTCTCTGATCCTCTGCTGCTCTAGAAAAGCTGCTCTGGAATCTGTTTTGATCATAACAGATCAATCCTTTCCTATTTGCCTTGGCTTTATCTTAAGCCAAAGTAAAGGTAGTGAAGTCTTAAAAACACCTTTCTCCTGGATGGAGCAATCACAYAGGCACAGTTTCACACATCCCACGCTCTGTGTAAGCGGAAGGTGCCTGTTGGAAAGCTCTTGGCTGAGATTCTTTGGTTTCAGCCCCTCAGCAATGGCTTTTGGCCACTGACTTCTGATAGCTGGACCTCATCAGTAGGTTCTTGAGCATTATTTTTAACTGCTGCTTGCTTCAGCAGTTTTTGGGTTTGTGTTTTGCTTTTGTCATCCCTGGTTATACAACAGTGGTAGTAAAATTGAAGTTGGGACTTTGTGTTCTGGTGCAAGGATACAGTAGCCAGCTTGGCTGTTAACATTTGGTAAGGCTAGGAATGGAACCCTGTGGTTTTGGGTCCAGAACCCAGGCCTTCAGAGCCTCCCAGGGGGCATTAAGCAACAAATGTTAACAGTCCCTCAGTGACTAACATGCTATTGGTAGGGTTTCCTAATTGGTCCGACAACATCTGTGTATCCTCCTTTCTGCAAGGTCCTTAGATTAATTGTGAATTTGTTGTAACACATATAGTGAAAAAGCTTAAAGTATAAAAAACTGAGCTGAAGTATTTATGTCAAGGTTCTGTTCCTGCCACTTAGAAATATGGCATTTTGGGACTGTATGAGCAGGAGGGTGGAGGTGTTGTATGTGATGATTAATCAGTAGTTGTTTAAATGTAGTTTATTCTCATGCTGTTTTGAAACTCTTAACATTGTAAATTTTACTTATGCAGGTTATTAGTGAGCTGAATGGAAAAAACATCGAAGATGTAATTGCTCAGGGTAAGTAGAGTCTCTATGAGTGTCCCAGGTGGTTGCCTCTGTTGCTTTAATACGTTAGACCGGAGAGTGTGGAATTGTTGCCAAGTCACTGACTCTTTGTCTGTTCAGCATTGTGGATCACTGCTGAATTGAGTGAAGTCAGGTCCATTCTAATTCCCTGCAGGTCAGTGCCAGTACCTGCTGGGTTTCGCTTGTGGACCACATTAAACTGGAGAACTTAAGCATGTATGAGCTTACTGGTAGTTTGCTCATGATGTAGTTTTCTGGACATGTTGATAAGAGACTGAGCTATCCTTTGGGTTTTCTAGGAGATGTTTTGTGTT